TTGTGAAATTCACCTTCTAAGAAAAGGATGAACTCCTTAGTTCACAAACTCCCTCTTGATCACCCTCAAGTGTAGGAAGTGTGTTCTAAAATCCTCAATCCGAAATTATGGAGTTTATGGTATGGAAAGTGGCTAACTCTCTAGTTTTTCTCATTTTCAATCACTAAACACTCTTCCTTATGATCAAGGCAATTGATCTTTGACTATATCATAAATTTGGAGTGGTTTTAGTGTATGGAAATAAGGAATTTTAGTAGCTATAGAAGCTTGGAAGTGTTTTGGCTCAAGGTTGCAATGTAGACAATTTTTCATCTTTTGCTCTCTTTTCTCTCTAACTCTCTCGAATGATTTTTCTTCTCCTTCATTCCATCCTCTCCCTCTTCAATATCTGATCTGAATGTATAAGCCATGTAGGAATAAACAAGTCAAGAAATAGGGGACAAGGTGGGAGACAAAGGTGATAGGCATGACAAAGATGACAATGATGATCAAGACTTTGTTGTTTTTGATTTATCTTTTATGACACGGCCAAAATCTCTTTTGATAATTGAGGGTGAGTGGAGATAATGGAGAATGAGTGGATGCACTTGAATGGATCAGAAAATAGGTAAATGGGGTGTCCCAACCGAGCCAAAACTAAGAAAAACGGGGCTGCTGCTGTTTTGGGCCGAGTCAACAAAATCTGCTATTAAGCCCAACTTCAAACGAGCATATCTCCTTTATCCAGACTTGGTTTTAGGTAATTCTTGAGTCTAAATTGAAACCCTAGAAGTCTACTTTCCAATGGTAGTGGCCTCACAATTAAATTTCCAAGTGTGCAAAGAGATATGCCTAATTTAGTGATGGCTGTTCATTTTTCTTGGGTCAGGTCAACTTTCCAGTGGTGGTGGCCTCACATCTAAATTTCAAGTATACAAAGAGATATGTCTAATTTAGTGAAGGCTGCTCATTTCGTTCGAGTCAGGTCAACAAAATCTACTCTTAAGCCCAACTTCAAATGGGCATATCTCCTTTATCCGTATTTGGTTTTGGGTGGTTCTTGGGTCTAAATTAAATCCCCAAAAGTCTACTTTTTAATGGTGATGACATCACATCTAAATTTCAAGTGTACAAAGAGATATGCCTAATTTAGTACAGGTTGTTCATTTCTTTCTTAATGATTTGATGCTCATTCTTTTTCTAAACCAGTTTTCTTCCATCCCCTCATGCTTCCTTCAAATCTAAACCTATCCAAACTTAAAAAGATGTTTTTAAATATTTTTTGAAAGAGTTCACCTCACTTCATTTTTTTCCACTTTGTCCTTACTCAGTTTACTGAAAAGTGCAATATTTTAATTAAAATAGGAGTCTTGGAACATCGTAGAAACATTTGAGAAAATATTTTGAAAAGAGGATTTTATGGTTTAAAATAGTTTGGCCAAAATAATGTGTAAAGGTTGGGATTAAAGTTCAAATTCCATACTTTTATATACATGATTCATACTTAGATCCGGCTAAATTTGCATCTTTGTGCTTTAATTGATTATTTCATGATTTTGTGCGCTATCGCATGTTTTGCAATTTTTCACATATTATGTTTTAGAAGCCGGATCTTTAGAAGTATTCTTGTGTATGTATTGCATTTGGATTTTGTATATAGGATCATGCATATTTTACTAATTTTGTTTTGTAGCTGTTCGTGGGACGTCGGTAAATATATAAGTTGTTATGCTTTAGCATCCCGCTTGTACATAATTTTTTTATTATATTTAGGGTTGGTTTGGGATGTCCTAAAAAAGTGCACTTTTTGACTTATTGGTGGGTTTGGGTTGGGTTTGATGTGATGTGTTAGAGAGGTGATGTGATTTAAATAAGATGATGTGACTTAAATAAGATAGTGACTTTTTGACTTTTTGGCTTATTTAGTACATGCCAAACTAGCCCTTAGTATTACCATGTGGCTATTTGCTTATATGATATAATTGTATGAATGTCAGTAGATGGAAGTTGTGTCGCTTAATTTGTAATGATGTTGATTTTTCATGCTTGCAAACTCAATTTATTTGGGTTGTACATCTTTAAAACTTTTCAAAATACATGAAATCAAATTGTTCCAAAATGAATGGCATAGTTTATACTTGTATGCTTCACATAGTAAATTTTTGGATTTATTAAATAATCAAAATATGAACATATAAAGAAAATAAAATTCATATCATGGTTTAGTAAAAGCCGATCTTTTAATCGGGTGAGCGGGGGTGTTCAATTAATGACATTTCCCTCTCATACCTAAGGTTCTGAACCGAGACAACTTTAGTTACTACGAATAGTGGCCTTGGTACAAGTCACGGGTTTCCTAATTTTCTCAAAATAAATATTAGGTGGCGACTCTAAGATCTGATGACAGTTCATTTGTGGCAAATATTTTTCTTTTAATAAAATGAATTTTCTAAAAGTTGCCAAATGTGGATTCTCGTTTACGTTTCACATTACACTCATGAGACTAGATCAAAAAAATTGAGGGTCCGAACTGTTTAACGCACACGGGTACCCCCGTTCATGTTACACCTTGGTCTTCTCCTCTTCCACCTCCGGTGATCTCAGGCCATTGAAGTGCCTGCCATCTTCCCAGAGGTCTGATCACCTCTAATCTCTATCACCCACAGGTTGCAATCCAACCAATTACTTGTTTACAAATTACCTAATTTGCTGGACTTTTGAGTCTTTTATGGCTTCCATATTAGGGGAGAAGCAGCTCCCCTCCAGACTAATTATTTTCATAATCCTCCAAACTTTTTTGGAGGTAAGGCCACATGTTTATCAATTAAATTTAACGTCTCAAACTATGGCCACCTCATTTAGCCACTTAAATGTTGGTACTCCATTCTATTTATGGAGATAACGGCTGTGATCACTGTCTAATACCTCCACATGCACGCTTTAGAGAGAATGAGTGGGGAGAAAAGACAAAATTTCAGTTCCTATTCGTGCAAAAGGAAAATGTACTAATGCACCGGAAAAAAAATTAGTGCTGATTTTCATTCTTTCTCCTCTTCATCTACATATTTAATTTAGTTCAGTGAATTTCTTCTTTTGGATTTTATAATTGGGTGTCATTTTCTTCTGGTTTGTTTCAATATTTCCTGTACTGGGATTGTGATGGAGGGGATGAATTCATTGGTTTAAAACTGCAAAAGACGGCTCAAGATTGGGGTAGCAACCCCTTGATGTGGGAAATTCAGATCTCCTTCAACCTCAAATTTGCTGGAGTTCTGCTACCGTGACACTTCTGACTATTTTTTCTCTCTATTCTTTTTTAGGGTTTTCTAGTATCTATATAAAGGGCACATTGCTGTTTTATGATTTTGGAGTTGGAATGGAAGTTTTTTTTTGTTAAAAGAATGAGTGTGAACTCTTCTATTGATTTGAGTGTCTATCTCAAACAGTCCTGGAGTAGGGTAATTCTCACTGTATTGGCGGATTTCTGTAATTCTAGTCTGTTCGCAGCCATTAATCTTCAGATCTGGATTTCCTTCTTTGGAATCCATTATCTCTACAAATCCTAAGCCCTGTTGTTGTAGTGAAAAAAAGTTAAAATTTACAACCTTTTCCTCATAATGCTTCCCTGGTGTACAAAAACACTAGGGTGCTCTACGTTGATAGCCCTCCACATGCACATCTCTGGGGCCCACCTCTTCTTTTCATCTTTTTCAACAACAAACAAAAGAAAAAGAAGTATGGAAGCAGGATTTACTCCTTATGTTCTTTTTGCAATTAGTGAAATTCCTTAATGATTATAAGTTATAACTATTTTAGTTTTTGGGGAACCATTCTCTCTCTCTCTCTCTGCCCTGTTTGTTTTCAGTACAATTGTGTCTTGGAATGTTACAAGAAATTTTATGTAGATGAAAATCAAGAAAGAAGGGTTTAGACAGTATAAAAATTGTCTAGATGGAATCAAATAGGATTTTATCAAGAATTTGGGATGTTGAAATGATTTTTCGGATATTGACCTGTGAAGAGTTAAAATTGGAAATTAAAAATGTGTGCTGGCTTTAGTGGGATGTTTGGTATGCGGATTTTTGGAAAAAGTTGTGCATATGAGATTCTAAACCCTTGTATCTAAAGATTGTGTTCAAACTATTTGTTCCACGTAGAAATTCGGACAAGTATGATTTTCTTTTCCATTTTAGTTGTATCTATGTTTATGGATTGAACATTTTAACTAAATGGTCAATGGAGCAAAATGTGAACCAACCACTTTTTCTGGTCTTAACAACTGTTTGATTAGTGGTACTATAGTGAAGGCATAATACTGCACGTTAAGGGTGGTTAACAAATATTATTTTTTAGTAGTTTTTTTTCTGTTAAAAGAGAGAGGGGCTTCAGCTTTTGGGACAGGTATATCAAATGATTTATATGCTGGCATTCAAACAAGATATTACTATGTTCATTGCTCTATCCCAAAAAGAGGCTATAATTTCATGTTCGTTAATTTTGCTAGGGTAAGGAAACCTACATTTTTGCTTTTGAAAAAATTATGCGAACGTACTCAGAAAAATTAATGAGAAAGTTTTATTTGTAAAAGTCCCTTGGACTTCGTAAGTGATCGTGCATAGTCCGCTATGTGACTGTAGTGTATTGGAGTTGTGCAACTCTGTGTGTGTCAGTTGCGTAATAAATGGGGAGACATTAATATTTAATGGACGACCATGAATTGGAGTAATGATCACCAGAGATGCCTTGTACATAATTCTTCTTCACAGGTGTTCAATTCCCATAACAGGGAAACGTAAATTAAGCCTTGAAAGGCATTGCGACATCCTTATGGAGACTTTGTGAATTATGTTTACAAGAGGAAAAAGTTCAAGGCAGATGGACGAACAAATCAGATGTGCATTTTCTTCAGCCTGTTGCAGTGTTTATTATTTTTTTAATTTTCTTTTCTGTAATCCTTGGAGAATAACATTCTAACCATGATGCCTATTTATTATTTTCTTGTTAATTTTGCATCAATTTTCTGCCAAGTTTGTGTTTGAGAGTGCTTCCTTGTCATTTCGGCATTCATAATTATATATATATACATTTTTTTTTGGGTCTCAGGTTTATGGAAACAATGTGGAGATCCAAGCATTGGCTGAAATGTATAATCGGCCTATACATATTTATTCCTATAGCACAGGTGCTGCTTTATTTTAGAATCAGATGTTTCTGGCATTCATTTTGAAGAATTGTTAACTTTTTCACCATTAAACTACTTTCATTCCATATTGTATGAATGCAGAACCTATCAACACATTTCACGGAAGCTATAATACTGACACGCCTCCTATACGACTAAGTCGTCATTACGGGAATCACTACAACTCACTTTTTGATCCACGGCGGTTGACGATTGGTGCAGGGCTCGGATTTAGCTGTCTGAGGGAGGTGAGTCGATATGTACATATACTATGTCTTGGTTCACTGTTATTTCTCTGTGGTAATTGTATTCCCAGAGCAAATGATGTAGTATAAGGTTTATAAGGAAAAAATGTACGAGGGAAAGGGCAGGCTTGTTTTCCATTTTTATTTTTCCTATTTTCCATGGAGTGGGGGGAGTTGGGCATTGGGAGGTTTTGGTTTGGGAATTGTTTCACATTGAATGTCATAATATTAGCATGAGGCCAAACAAACACAATTGTAACTAAAATGTAGAATGTCATAAAAAAATTTTAAGTATTGCTAGCATAGTTGTTTTTGTTATTCCTCAGTACCCAATGGTTGACTCAGGACAGTATGTTTGTGCTCTGTGCTACAGAGAAATGTTGATAGGGATCAAGTCAAGGCTGCTATGAAAGCTCAACAAGACCAACAGATTGATAATGTAAGTGTCTTTTGTCTGTTTTTATAGGTATTGAAGCAAATTGTTGAGACTTTATACTTACCAAGATAACTAAAATGATTGGTAATCCTTTTAAATTTTTAATAAAAGGTACTCATTGCGGAAGGGAAATTTTATTCTGATCTTGAGCTCACGGAAAAAGAAATTGAACGTATGGTGATGGAAGCTTCTCGTTTTGAGTATCTTGCTGATGACAAGTTCAAGCAGCAACTTGGTTGGCGAGAATCTTCTACTTCTGGTGCTGAACCATCATCATCTGGAGCTAGTGAGTTTCCTTTGTTTATTGTAATTAAATAATTTAGTTGATTTTTAGTTCTTGCTAGTTAATTGCTTTTAAGTTTTTTTTCTACACTATTTGTTTTGGTGAAAATGTACAACGGAAAACGAGAGTCAACAGAAAATTTTTCGTGGTCAACAGGAAACGAAGTTGTTTAGGCGGAATTTTTTTTTCCTCTTTTGAATGGAGGGAAAACATTTTCTGGATCAGAGTTTTACCACCATCACCTCCACCCCTACTACCATCACCTTTCACCACTTCACCACTGCCACCACCTCCACCTCCACCTCCACCTCCACCTCCACCTCCACCCCCACCCCACTGCCACTGCTATCACCACCACTAACACAATCAAAAAGCTTTCTATAAAAATGTTTTCCATTGAAAAATATTTTTTGTTGAAACAAGTGCATCCAAGACAATTCAAGATCGGCGATTGGGTACTGCGCAAAGTAATGGGAAACACCTTGGTACCAGGAGATGGCAAGTTGGGACCAAACTGGGAAGGTCCTTACAAAGTGGTTGTGTTAGCAGGCAAAGGGACATACCACCTAGAAGACAAGGACGGCAAAGCAATCCCTAGGCCATGGAACACGGCCAATCTCAAGTTATTTTACTTTTAGCTTTTCTTTTTCAAACATGTGTAATTTTTTCTTTCTTCAATAAGACAAGCGATTCTTTTCAGCATAAGTTGTTCTCTGAAAAAGTTAGCTTTAGTAAAGATTAGGTACATTGCAAACATTGTTCTAAGTTAGCTGGAAAAACTAACTTAGAGGTTGGCTGGATTAAACCAACACCTTTCTAAGCCCAGGATAAAGGCTGCAGGATGTTTGGTCGGAATAACCAAACACTATTCTAAGTTGGCTGGAAAAACTAACTTAGAGGTTGGCTGGAATAAACCAACTCCTTGTTGCTCTTCAGCCAAAGTAAGGGTATGGCTGAAGAGTGGTTGGCTGGAATAAACCAACTCTTTGTACTCTTCAGCCGAAGTAAGGGTATGGCTGAAGAGTGGTTGGCTGGAATAAACCAACTCTTTGTACTCTTCAGCCGAAGTAAGGGTATGGCTGAAGACTGGTTGGCTGGATTAAACAGTGTACTCCTCAGCCGAAGTAATTATATCGGCTAAGGAGTGGTTGGCTGGTAAGCATGGTTAGTTTAAACCATTTAAAACCAGAATAGCAGTTGGAATATTAGAAGACATTACAAGTGCAAGCATACAAATCAAAACCGGAATAAAAGTTCAAACAAAATTTTCATTCATTGAAAAGCAAGTACAGAGGGGCATAGCCCGGTTACAAAGACAAAAAGTATCAAAAAAGAGAAAAGTGCAAAATCAAGAAAAAAGTTCTTCAATTTCGGCTTCAAAAGCTGCATCAGCATCAGAACGAAGACCGGCTTCAGGCGGAAGGTCGTTTTCAGTGGCAAGAGTGGTTTCGGTCGAAACCACGGTTTCACTTGGTTGATCAATAGTTAGATCTTCCACCATGGGCTCCGACCGAACTGCCTGATCTACATGCACAACCGGAGTATCCTCAGGGGCAGAGTCTTCATCAGAGTCTGAGCCCTCAAGAAACTGCTGTTGCATGGCATTTGCATATTCCATGAGGGAGTTCGATATAAAGTAGGCTGGAGGGTTGAAAACCTCGGTCTGTGGATCATGACCAAGCTTCTCAACGGCTCCCCTCCAGCCGCACTTAAAAAACAGATCCTTGGCAGCCTCACACTGTTTGACATATATATCCTCTGCCTTCTTAAAACCTTTCTTTTCGGCCTCTTTTGAGCTCTCCTTCGCCTGGGATATTTCGGCATCTTTCTTCCTTTCAAGCTTTACCAGCTCGCGCAGATACTTGTCCTTCAGAGCAATGGCAGCCTTCTGCTTTTCGGCCTCGGCCGAACTAACCAGTCCGGTCAGTCTGCCGATCTCACCTTGTAGCTCGGCCATTTGTTTTCTGGCTTCTTCTAGCTCGGCCACCTTCGCTTCGGCTTCCGCCACTGCTTGCCTTGTTGTCTTTCTGAGCTCAAGGACTTTCTTGTAAGTAATGTTGCTTTTCTGTAAGGCCTGACAAAACGAAGACTTCCCTTGAGCCGAAGTAAAAGTTTGAAAAATTAGACAGAAAAACGGACAGAGCTACTTACCAAAATCATGGACTTTGATGAAGACCAGATGGACTTCAATTCGATGTTTAATTGCTTTTGGTGGTGCTCCATATCTTTGGGGAGGCACACACTCTTGGCCAGGTTGAAGGCAATTGATGATCTTTGTCAGCAACAACCGAATCAGAATCTCTGATATCTCGGTCGTTGAAGGTTAGCTTCGGTGCCCAGATGGTGGTAGTTGGGTTGGTAGGCTCGGATTGGGGGCTCGGTGGCAGGCTCGGTGGAACAGCAGCTCCGTCTTCATCAACCAAGTTTTGTTCGGTTATGGCAGTCCGGGCTTGCTTGGTTCGGCAGGATGAGGGCGGTTGTTGTGTAGGAAGGGCCACCACCGCTTCTTGGGTTTGAACTGATAGTGGTACTTCGGCCCTGGTTGTTGCGGTCCGAAGGGCCCTGACTCTGCTTTTCTTTGCCATCTCTTCTTCAGCGGTTAGTGGGACAAGTCTTATTTCGGGCAAGGTTGGGTCCGGTTCTGGTGCGTCTTCAAGAAGGAAATCGGTCACTCTGGCTTTTCGGCGACCGCTATATCTGTAGGTCGGCTCAAAGTTTAGAAGCTTAGCCCAACTCCTTTCTTTAAACCGTAATGCGGCTCGGAGTGTGTTCAGATTTGGGTAACTATACAGGGAAGCAAGATGAGCTGAGTCTGCAAAGAGGATACAACTGTTAGGCCGGTTATGACATCTGAAACCAAAGTAAAAGAACATGCATAAAACCGAAGTAACTATAACAGGTTCTCCTTTTTTTCAATTGATACTTCGGCCTGGGATTTGGGCTTACTGATCTTCAAAATTTCCCGATACCCAGAAAAAGTCGTCGTCATTTACATCCTTATCCGGCGTATCTTTTATTATCTTTTCTCTACGACGGCGTATCCTAAGGTAATAAACCCAGCCATCGTCTTTAGAACCTATGGAGTACTGGTGGAAGATTTCGGCTAGACCGAGGTTCAGGCTTGCTTGGCGGTTTAGTTCGGCTATACCCATTATTATCCGGTATGTATTGGTGGATAGTTAGGTTGGGCATAGTCTGGTTTGCCTAAAAAACTCACAAATTAAAGGCTGGACTGGGAACCTTAGTCCGGTCTCTATAATTGAAAGCAGGGTAAAAGGTACAAAGCCTGCTTCACCCCATGGTATGACGTCCTGCTTGGCTAGGGTAAGGTGTACATCATCAGGAATGCCATAATCCCTTCGGAATTCGGCCATACCACCAGGGGTCTCAACTAGATACCTATACTTACCCATTTGTATAATTTACAAATAAGTTATGTCGTGCAAAAATTGTGCTCAGTAGCTCGGTTGAGCGCACGACGGATGCCTGGGCAAACCTAAGTCTGCAAAGTAGAAAACAGGGGTTAAGCACTGATCATTGGACCGTACTACAAATTAAAAGCAAGGTATAAGAGCCCTACTTCGGCCTTGTGAACTGGTTCTACCTCGGTTCGTCAAAAGGTTTGGTATGCTCGTTTGGAGCAGGTTGCTTATTAGACTGGTTCATCATCTAGGGGCAGCTTTCTGAGTTCGGTCTAAAAACTAAGAAAGCTGGCTTAGCCCCAAAGGCCTAAATCGGTTGAACTATGAGTTTTGTTTCTTCGGTTGAGCCTCTAGAGGCAGCTTTCTGATGTTTGGTTTAGAAACTAAGAAAGCTAGCTTAGCCCCAAAGGCTTAGCTCGGTCGAAGACCGAGGTTCCTAGTTTAATGTGTTCAAAACTTCGTTCGGTGATCTTATTTCGGCTATAGTTGATCGAAATTTGGTTTATTTTGAAGCTGCTGTTATCTCTACAAGTTCTAGTTCGGTTGTTGTCTAAAGTGATCTACCTATATAAGGACAAACAGTATCCTAGTTCGGTTGTTACATAATTTTGGATCAAGTCTAGTTTTCTACAGAATAATTCATACACGCATGAGTTCTACTGATTTTCTCATGAAAGTACAGAAGCAAAAACAAAAATGTACAAATATGTTTCGCAAAAACATAGAAAGTGAGATACGAAAGCAAAACAGAGGAAGAAAAGGGGGTTTACTTACCAGATTAAAGAAGAGGGAACCGGAGATGGAGCAGTTGCAACAATGAAGAGCACGAACTCAGGATTGAAGAAATAGAGACACAGAGAGAGAAGACGAAGAATAGTAGAGTAAGTGATTCAAAAATGGAAGGGTTGTTTTGTGTAAAGGACGAAAGGCAAAAAGGACGGGACTGTTCAAAAATTTCGTAGTACGAGGGCGGCGGGACAGCTGCCCCCAGCCTATCAGAGCCCGCCACGTGTCATTGGAAAGGGAAGCGTTACAGTCATGATTGAAGGGACGTTTTGACCGGACAAAACAGAGCCCGGAGTAAAATTAGCTCGGCTGGATAGGCTAAAGGGTTTTTAGCTCGGCTGGAAAGGCTTAAAAAACTTCAGCTCGGCTGGTAGACTGGTAATCCCAATCATGCTGTGCAGATGGAATTAAGGGGCAATTGAGAGGGTAATTTTTGGTAAAAATTGGGCCGAGCTATGACATGGACTTTATGGCCCAAAGTATGACGGACTGGGTAAAAAGGGCCGAGAAGTTACTCCGGCCCGAGAGAGATAAATTACTTCGGTCAAAAGAGATGAAGTTACTTCGGCTTAGGAATTGTAAAGTACTTCGGTCAGGAAGCAACTTGAAGTTAGACCGGTCTTGGAGTTATACCGGTCTTGGAGTTATACCGGTCAAGAATTGTTGGTTCGATCCAAACATACTATGGGTTGAACAGGAGAGAGCCGAGGTAAGGAGGAGTAAAGGGAAAACCGTACTAAGTGTAGTTCGGCCTACCCTGTGTCTCAGCATAGCCAGTTTCACTTCGGTCGAATGGTAGTTCGGCCATGGTTGAAACCATCCCACTTGGTTTAAGCAGTGGGGGGGTGTAAAAGGATAAGCATTATCCTTTAGGAGTATGAATCCTAGGAGGACTCTGCATGGAGGAATAAAAGTCCTACTAGGATTGGGCCACTCGAAACCTATAAAAACTTACAAGCATCACCTTGGAGGAGGTAACATAACACAACATACAATTTTGCTTCCTGAATACATTGAGCTTTGTCTATTTGTCAAGTTTGCTGACTTAGGCATCGGAGAGGTTTCCGGCACACA